CAACATTCCGGCACATCGCCGCCCATCTCCACCGTGGCGGCCGCCTTCACCTCACTTCCTCCAACTCTCACAGCAACAGCAGATCGAACATTGGCTCGATTTCCACGCGGAACAACTGGCAGCGGAAAATAAACCTCAGCACACCTACATTGCAAAACTCCTTGTCGACAGCGGATTTACCTACAACGATTTGTCAGATTTCCGCCAACTCACACATATCAAAATGGAATGACGCCACCAATGCATACGACACTTTTTCCTACTACTGCATCACCATCCCCAGTCTGGTCGAGAAAGCCACTCGTCAGATCCCACCGCCTGCCACCCGCGCCACCTCCACCGCTCCTGAAACGGTCCACATCAGTGCAGGCCACACTGGCCCACTTGGCAACGTCACCACCATCCACTCTGCCGACAACCCGGGTTTCTTTGCCCAAGGCACACGCATTACTCACCAGCCACTCCACGACAACTACGAACAAGCCCGTATCCTACACAACACATGGAAACTTGCCAAGAACACCCACTCCATTATGCTCCACCTCTTGGCCTGGGGCCAAGGCACGAAGTTCACAAGTGGTGGCGAAGAGCACGCCATGCACCTTTTACAGCAACAACATGGCGCAGTCTGCCACGCCAAAGCGCGCTGCTGGGTCATTCACCCGAACAACGCTATCATCAAGGGCCTTGCATGGTCCATCAACTCAACACCACCAGACATGTGAGCCACTTCCACCACCCAACATCCTCTACGCCACCATCACCAACCCGCATTCACTGAGAGCTTTTCCGACCAGTTTCACACCGTACCACAAACCTATGGCTCCGCCAAAACAGAAGCATCGAGAATTCGTTTTCATAGGCTGCGCGCGCACGCTTTATTTTCTCCACCTTTTTTCGCAACTTTCATTGTGAGTCCGACCATGTAGTCGATTTTTGAGATTTCTGACTAACACACCCTCGACAGTTTGCTCTCACTCTCCGACTTATCGAGGGAATGCGCATTTCCAGTGTCATGCTTCGGTTTTACCACATGCGGAAGTTTTAGTGACTTTGAAGTTTTGAGTAACTTTTTGAATGATCTTACCATCTTACTGCTTTTTCTTTGACCTTGTTCGCGCTGCAAAATTCGTGCTCGATAATTCGATCCGATAATTCAATTGCACGGCCCGCCCGCATGCACCCTCCGCTCATGAAGTGGCGCCGCCTGCGCTGCGCTGCCAAGCTGCCGTTCCAGGAGATTGATCACTGAAGCTTTCACTTAAGATGCATCACAGCTCGGACCAAGCTCGACTGCTCCATCGCGCCACCATTGCGCTTACACAGCTCCATCGCCTCCTTCAACAAGCAACCGACATTTTAGCCAACCTTCGCAGCATCTACCTGCTTCATACAGGACAAGTTGACGCACATTTTCAACGTTCCTTCCCACCTCTCCCTCCACCTCCCCCCACGGCAGTTCCGATTCTCTCACCTACCTCCTCTTGCGACTCAGCCCCCATTGCACCCGTTCGGCGTGCACCACCACAGCCCACGGCATCCCAAGAGTCCTCCACATCCACTCCCCTTCATTTCCATCACCAGATCTTCATGGTCACAAAGGACCTTATACAGCAAACCTTGATCAATCAAAGGTTTGCTGAAATGCCTAGCCCCTCCTCTGCCAGACATACCTTTTTCAAGGTAGTTGTGGGCTTTCCTTTTTTCTCTAGGAACTTATATACCTTTTTCAACCTTAAGGGCTTCCCCTATAGAGCTTTATACAGAGCACCTCTTGAGCCAAAACTCCAAGCAGCATGCACCCCAAAAATCAATATTTGGGAACAAAAGTTTCAAGGCAAAAATCAAACAGAAAATCAATATAAAATCTGACTATTTTAAGAACTTTTAGAGCTTATAAAAATCAAAAAATAAAATCAATCAAATCAATATATTCAATCAAATCAAAATCAATCAAAAAAACCAGAAGTTTATTGATCAGAATCAAGATTCGATGCTCAGGGCTTGTTGAGTCACAAACATGTCGACTCTGAATACTCCGTCTTTTGTCAAGATGGTTGCCCATATCGGACACGCGCGCGGTTCATGTATGCCTTCCTGGACGTCAGGCACAGCTGCCGCCACTGCCACGCCAAGCGCGGGGCTTGCAGCAGGTCCGGCCGTCCGCGTGTCCAGTTGGTGGGTTCGCAGAATGGGGTTTTCCTCACTAAACTTGCTGAACAGTACCCCCATTCCTTGTGTCGACGGCTGGCATCTTCCATCGGCTATACAATCACTGCACACATGGCCGGCCATTTACAGAAATTTTTTGAATCGGTGACCCAGTGACCGCCTTGGCACTTGTGTGAATGCTCGGACGATTTTGGTTAGTGTCAGCGTACTCTCAACGGAGTGGCCTGGCGCTGACTTGAGTGGTGCGCGCATTTCACTATACAGATTTGCGCCTGGTCACGGGAAAAGGAGCGATTCATACTTCTGTTCACTGAGACTTGAGAAGGGACTGATGAAGTGACCGGTGTCTTTAATCTCAAGCTTCTCCCAGCCCTTTCGCTTTGCTCTCTTCCCACCCGCTTTGGTTAGTGTCAGCGTACTCTCAACGGAGTGGCCTGGCACTGACTTGAGTGGTACGCGCATTTCACTATACAGGTTTGTGCCTGGTCACGGGAAAAGGAGCGATTCATATATATGTGAAAATGTGCTGGTGTTAAATATGTAACTCTGCATATGTGTCGATGTAGTGCACCTACTTTTTAGAAGAACCCTTCGCTCAGGCGTTCTCGGGAAAACAAAGTCATGCCGATCACAAGTCATTTCATGTGTTCACACGAGAGCGCCTGAGAAGGTGTGTAAAACATCCAGGCGCACAACGCTGTACATGAGGACGTGAGGACCTGTTCTCCACATGAAGCCACCGCTTGGAAATGCTACGATTTGGAGTCGGGTTCATGATTTTCATACAGGGCATTCTTTTTCAGGGGCCGAACGTCATCCATTTTCCACAATTTGTGTTCTCATGTAGCCTCGTAACAATCTTGTTGCGTCGTTGCCACCCAGGCATTTTGCATGTTCGCTGTCTTAAATGTGATGACGCTCGCTGTGGTCTTACACTTTTTTCCTTTTAGTCAGTCAGTACTCAGTAGTATGAAAAGATGTTTGGTTTTGAACGTTCGTCTGTGGGTGTCGTCTTCATCTATCTTTCTCTCTGTTGCATCTCGAGGACGGGGGTGTTTTGCCACTCTGCAATAAAATCTGCTGAGCAAGACCACGAGAACAGATTGGACAATCGACAAGAGTTTCGTCAGATGATTTCTGACATTTTCCAACGGCTTGATGATGGAGATGGGCAGTTGACATTGGCGGAGTTCGAAATGATGTTTGAAAATGAAGGGATGCAAGCCTTCTTGGAAACAGCTGAGATCAACGCATCTGATGCTTGGACACTTTTTGCCAGTTTAGACGTGGACGGTGACCATCTCGTGTACGTTGAAGAATTTACCAAGCGCTGCATGTCACTCCGGGGTCCTGCACGATCGATGGATGTTTTCGCTTTGACACGCCACAATCTCAAGATACGAGATCAGTTACGAAAAGTTGATCAGAAACTGACCCATTTGAACAACCTTTTTTCACGGGATGATTCCGTGACAGATTCAGAACTCATTGCCATGTGAAATCGACGCATTTGTTACAGAAGGCTCTGCAAAGACTGAGACTTGGTGCAGTTTCACTGGAGGAGACATTTTGGCGACTTGCTGAACTCGGCAAGACCAAAAACATGCGCCGGCAGTTTGTCTTCAATTGGTCTCCAGAAATGTCATGTTTTGAGCCCGTGAGTTTCGTTATCAAGTGAAACTGGTTGACAGGAAGCAATGGCAGTCATGGATAAAGAAACTGACAACAAACCTTAAAGGTCTTGAGCACAGCACGGAATTCATTAGTAACAATTCAAAGTCCTAAGCCCTTGGAGCGCTGGTCATTGTAAAAGGCCGGCGTTCTTGCTGTCCAAATCCCTCACATTCGGCTGTGGATGTTGATTATAAATTAGGAACTAATCTTGCTAACCATTCTAAAACTACAAACATTTTTTTTGTTGGTTTTGTTCAAGTTTATTTGTCTTAAGTGTGGGAATGTCATCCATGTTCGGGGCCCATCTCGAGGCATGGGCGAAGATCGAAGTCCTAGCCGGAAGTGGCCGCCACAGATTTTTGAGCCAAGCATTCCACGTTGGAAACAGAATGCTCGGGCAGTTGGGAGAAGCTTCATCGTGCGGTGATGTTTCGCCAACCCACTTCAAATCCTTCAACTTTAGAACCCTCCACCTTTCCATTTTGTCCAAAACAAACATTTGTGTTGAATTTCGAAGGGAGACCATGGAAGCATTTAGTAGGTTTCACCATCCTATGTGCCCACTCCCCTTTCTGGACATCTGTGAGATGCCACTCACTAGCTGACACGGGATGTCCGCGCAGGTCCTTGCATCACTCATTGTGCACATCGCCATTTGTTCGACAATCAGCACATTGAGTTGTTCTTCGACGCAGCCGTACGACTTCCCCGTGAGAAATCCGAACCTCTTCTCGCCCGACCGGAAACCTTTCGGACGACCAGGACCGTTCCTTTGGAGGATGCAGAGTGTTTGGAGTAGTAACAAGTGCATCGCTAGTAGTAACAAGTGCCTTACTACTAGTAACAATAAGAATTTAATTAGAATTGTAATTACTAGCAAAGGAATCTACTAGGACCATTTCGCGCGCGCGCAGGGGGGGGGAGGAAGCTACTAGGAACAAGTGCATGTATTCAGGTGTTGCATGTAGAGTCACTCGAACAAGAGCTGGACATGGTAGGAATAGAGCTGAAGACTCTGAAGTCTGTTTGAAGGACTGTGGCTAGTGACTATGAGTGACTATAGCTTCTTCTTTTTTTCGAAGCAAACACTAAAATGCAGGGCGGGATTTTTTTCGAGGCCTTCATGAGCACCATGAGCACCTCAGCTTTCCCTCATGGCCATCTCTGAGCACTCTGAGATGAATGACCTCACACCAGTTCGTGTCGGAAAGTCCTTCAGGCGGGTGGATTGCGACACCCCCTAAGGAGGGAATAATTGTTCTTCCTTCAAGCCTCCTTGTTTTTCTTGTGGAGATGTAAGGTGTTTGGAGACGTTTGGATTTGGGCCATGGTTCACCAATGGGGCCTTAGCTTTCTGAAAGCTTCCACATCCTGGAACCACCACGGCAAAGGCAGTACAGGTGAGCATGCGCCTTGTGCAGAGCCAGCTTACGCGCACACGCCCTGCGTTAGCCATGGCCCTGCGCGCTGCAAATTCCAACATGTTAAGATTAAAAGCCTCAGATGTTAGGGTGGAGGCCGTCACTAGTAGGGTGGAGGCCATTGCTACTAGTAGCAATGGTCTCCAACCTACTAGCAGCTTGCTAGCAATGGCCTCCAACCTAGATGTCATCCCAGGATCGATGATCCCACTTTGGTACACGCCCAAATTGGAAAACTCGCAAGTCAACTCATTGCGATTGCGCTTGAGGTGTTTGTATGCCCATTTTGTTTGCTCTTGTTGCTGTCTTGCTGTCTTGAGAGGTGCCGTGGCTCCAGAGTGGAGACTGATTTTTGCGTTCTGATTCTTCTTCCTCTAATGCATTCGGTGTCCAAGACATTTCCAAACTTGCATGCCGCTGAGGGAGCGCAGCAAAAGCCGCAGCCGCAGCCACGACAATGGCAATCGCAAGGACAGATGGGATTTGGTCTCAATGTGCAAGTCTTGAATAATCCACTTGTCAACTCAGGGTTCGTGGGTTCGCTTCTGTCGCTGGGTCGCACAGAGTTGGCCTCATGTTCATTGCATGGTTTGCGTGGCAGGTGCAGTAGATTGGCGTGGCTTGGTCCTGTTTGATTTGCGCTACTAGGAGCAAGGACTCTACTAGAGTTACTAGGGGCTCCTGGCCTTACTGCTAGGAGCAAGAAGCTACTAGGGGCTCCTGGCATCGCTTAGGAGCAAGGACGCTACTATTTGCGCTCTTGTTGTGGCTTGGCATTTTCGTGTTTTGGTCTCAAGTCATGTCGCCGCAGGAGGTCACAGTTTTGTGTGCGATGTCGTGGCACTTTGGACCTGGTTGAGGGTCAGATTTCGTGGCAGTAACAAGGGGCATCGCTACTAGCAAGTTCTAGCTAGATTCTAGGTCACGTGGTCTTTGGAAGTGCTTTGATTGCGAACCGTCTAGGCAGGACTGCCTGATGTGAACCTCGAAGTGCAGATTTCGTCGTTTGGATGTTGCGTTTCCATGGTTAGATGCAAGATAAGCCTTGATTGGAGTACGAGTCTAACACCACATGAGAAATAAGTTAATAAGGCACCATGTGCTGAACTGCATCAAAGACAATAAGTTAGCTTGGAGTATCACGAACACAACCAGCACTTCTGCAACATGCCGTGGTTGCTGTGGGTCCTCAAGTATATACCTGGGACTCGCGCGAAATACGTGCCAGTGTGGCCACATGTTCCACCAAAACTTTGCAAAACGGTTCTATGGTGTTGTACCATGAAACGGATGACTTTATTGTTAACACATGCGCTAATATATTGTTCTTGTTCGATTGTTTGAGTATGGTCTCGGTGCGCAGCGTTTTGTGGCAGATTTGTTTATGGACTTGATCGTAGCAACTTCAGTGCAAGATTAGAGCACCTTTCCATGTGCAGGACAGTCGTAGCCCAAGCCGCAACAAGAAACCAGAGGAGCCAACGATAAACAGTCGGGGCAGTGCGAAAGGAGTTTGAGAGAAGTAAAGGAGGACATGGACAGACAAGGAAAGTAAGGGGGAAGAGCTGGAGAAGAAGCAAGGAAGGCGTTGGAAAGCAATTCCAGATCTAAGGCCTTTCTAATACCGTCGGAGGGTGCTTTCCGGTTTGTTAGGACATTGCTACAGTCGGCGCTGAATCTTGGGTTTTGCAAGGCATAGCGTCCAATTGATCGAGAGGACTATGGTGTTGACACCATGAAGATTACAGACGATGACGCTGCCTTTATTCTGGGTTCTGACCTCAGGAAACTCAGCTCAGAGAGCTCAGACCTTCGATGTTTTACCTTCCCTGCCGATGAAAGTGAGACAATGGGGCTATACCAATATGCCGCAAATTGCGCCCAAAGAAGGACAGCAATTTGAACCACTCAAGTCCCACAACCCATGGGACCTATCATTGGACCATGAAAACCTTGTGAGGAAACCTATTCAGGAACCTTAGTGCAGCGGAATGCAGCTGCTCATGGACACGTTGCCAGCCGTTAGTGGGAGTCTATTTGAGGAACCTAAGATCCTGCTCCGGAATCCTCGTGAAAACTTTAGGGATTCTGGCATCGCTACTAGGAGCAAGGACGCTACTAGGGGCTCCTGGCCTTACTACTAGTAACAAGAAGCTACTAGGAGCAAAGGGCGTCGCTACTAGGAGCAAGGACGCTACTAGGGGCGTGAAATGAACATGTGAGCGCCGTGATCGCCGTTTATGTTGTCAGTCGAAGATAGCTATGACGGTTTGCGGCTTGCCCCACGTTTCAAGCAGTGTTCAAAAGACATTGCACGACACTGAGCACAAACCAGCGGGACTTAGGCAAAGGTGGCAAGACCAAGGAGAAGATTTCAAAGGTGTCTGGCGCGGGACTTGGAGATTCTCAACGAACTGTGCTGTCTCTTCGCCTTCGCGACGTGTCTCGGTGCATTGTCTCAGTAGGTGCTGAAATCGAGCTCTTCGAACGTGATCTCATCTTGGAGATCCGAGGCCCCAAGCAACGGCCTCAAACTCGCGAGTAGAAAAGCAATTCTTGCTAGTTGTAAGTAGCAAGCCCTTCTTGCTCCTAGCTTCTTGCCACTAATAAAGTAGCGAGAAGATATTTGAAGAATTAGGCCGCCAGGAAAAATTGGAGCTGTGGCTGGTTGGAGATTCATCAACCCACAACTTGCCGCTTGTTGGCTAGATCCCTGTGGAAGAAGTCCGCCAGGTTGATGCACTGATGCGAATTCCATATTCTCATTCTCACAGTTAAACAATTAAGGCTCCACCTTAGTAGCAAGCAACCCTCAGGTTGAAACTGCCACAGTGTTTCCTCAACAAGAACGCTTGGCTTTAAGAGCGGACGTGGCACAAGGAAGTATACCCTAGTAGCGATGGCCTCCAACCTGCTAGCGATGGCCTCCAACCTTAAGTTTCCTTAAAAGTCTAGGAACCAAATCATTAGCGAGCTATCCTGCGTCCTAGGTAGTGGCTACTTAAGCTACTAGCTACCGTTGCTACTAGCTACCTACCTCTAGCGGCCTACCCCCCCTTTAAAAATACAAGTATACCGAATACCCCAATAGCGATGGCCTTTACTTGGTTCCTCTTGGTTCTTTGTTCTCCTTTGCACCTAGGCTGATCCGGCGGCGTGCCAAGAAGTATTGCAAGGGCGTCATGGATCAACGCACCGGTCCGGTGAACGTCACACAGGCGATTGAAGATGCTAAAGCCTGCGGTAGATGAAACGGTAATGTCGTAACAAGTGCCACGCTAGTAGTAACAAGTGCATCGCTACTAGTAACAAGTGCCTTACTAGTAGTAACAAGAAGCTACTAGTAACAAGTACTCTTACTAATAAATGAGAAGATAAGTCTTTAAGTCACGACAAGTCCCTTAGAGTTTGAAAGCCACAGGAAGACCATCCGATATGTTTAGCTTATAAGTCATTGTCACTCTTCTTCGCCTGAGCTTGCAGGATCACGATGATGACGATGATTTGACGATGTTCAATGCTGAGAGTGAGAGAAACTGCTGACGATGGCTTGATGCAGTTGTGGCCTCGTCGCATACCTCCCTTACCTCATCCACTGAGGATCAGTGTCCCACAAGAGGCTGTTGGCTTCGTCACTGGAAGGTGCTGCGTCGGTCACGCTTGTTGTGTATTTAAAGATGGTTGGCAATAGTCGCTTTCATTGTCGCTTTGGATATCGGAGATCAAAATGTTGTTTCTTTGGTAAAGGGCTGGCAACTTTTTGCGGACCATCGAAGAGGAATGGTTCTTGCCCTAGCCAAGCATGATTCTTTCATTTAGGAAACGCTTCCACAAAATCAGCAGTTTCGTAAGATTTTTTCCTGAAAGTTACATGTGCTCTCATGTGCTTGCCTTGTACTCTCATGCGTGTGCTCTCATATGTGCAATCTCATGCTCTCACCGTGCTCCCTATGTGTGTTCCACAGGCGCGCTCTCACATGTGTGCTCACTCAAGGTTGCTGGAAGGTGTGCCATAAGGGTGTACAGGTGTTGGAATAAGCTGACCATTTACTCTCGGTTTGCTCTTTCTTGTGCTGTCACTCACCAGTGAATCTAGTGACCACATGAAAGGTACCTCGACCGTTCGCGCACACATGTGTCGCGGCGTAAGTCTTTCGTAAGACCCACTGTAAGAATATATAATCCATTGTGTTGGCAGAAGCGGGGTGTGACTTTTGCGCGAAGACACGAAGACACCTGAAGACACGAAGACCCGAAGAAACGCGAAGACACGAAGACACGCGAAGACACGAAGACATGCGAATACACGAAGACACGAAGAGGCTTCAGGTCTTCAAAGCTTCAGGTCGTCACTGGGCTTCAGGTCTTCAAGGCTTCAGGTCGTCACTAGGCTTCAGGTCGTCACTGGGCTTCAGGTCTTCAAGGCTTCAGGTCGTCACTGGGCTTCAGGTCTTCAAGGCTTCAGGTCGTCACTAGGCTTCAGGTCGTCACTGGGCTTCAGGTCTTCAAGGCTTCAGGTCGTCAGGGCTTCAGGTCTTCAAGGCTTCAGGTCGTCACTAGGCTTCAAGGCGTCACGGCGTCAGCAGGGCTTCAAGGCGTCAGGGCGTCAGTGAGGACTCAAGGCGTCAGGGCGTCAGCAGGGTTTCAAGGCTTCATGTCTTCAGAGGAAAGTCGCCCGGGATTGCCAACACACTGATATAATCATTGATGTCTTTGTATCTCCGTCTATCGAACAAAACCGGCGCTCAAAAAGCTGTGGAGTTCAAGTCGTTCCAAGTGTCGAGTGATCTGTGATCACAGTGCCGAGCTGAGGAACACCCTCATGTTCTTCTGCGAAGTGGATGGGTCTCGCGGTCGTGTGAAGGAGGGAGATCATGCAACAGGTTCAGGCGTCAAGGCCTAAATTGCTTTGAATTGGCCTAGATACACATTGGAGAATCCCTAATTCTTTGCGAACTTTGGAGGACTACGAAAAGTTGGCGATTTTCGGCACTGCAGCGGCCTCAGACATGCAGCGCGGCGGTGCCCTCGCTCAAGCTGTGCGTGGTGCGAGGTCCGAGCTCGTCGCGGTGCAGAGTTGAAGGTCCTCAGTGCTGTGGAGACCAAAGTCTGAATCCGAGCGGTCCGAGCAGAGTTGTCATTTTATATCATACTCTTTCCATCAGCGCTGTACACCTCCATTGTTTTGTCTTTCTTTCCCAAAAGCATCTCGGATGCTTGGGTTCTCGTTTAGTCGCTAGTGCCGCGGAAGAGCGAGACAAAGTAAGCGTTATTGTGGACGGAAGATGGGTGTGGACGGGGCTGTGGATGGAAGGAAAGGGGTGCGAGACGGGAGGGGCGTGGGTGTGGACGGGCTGGGGAAGGAAGGGAGGGGAGCAAGACGGAAGGTGCATGGGTGTGGACGGGGCTGTGGATGGAAGAAAAGGGGCGCGAGACGGGAGGCGCGGCGCATGGATGTGGACGGGGCTGGCATGGGTGTGGACGGGGCTGTGGACGGAAGGAAAGGGGTGAGAGACGGGAGGCGCGGTGCATGGGTGTGGACGGGGCTGTGGTTCGGGAGCAGGTTCCGGAGTATAGGTCGCGGAGTATAGGTTCCGGAAACGGTTCTGAAGCAGGTTCTGGGGCAGGTTCCCGAAAAGGTTTTGGAGCAGGTTCTGGAGCAGGTTTTACTGGTTCCGGAGCAGGTTCTGGAGAAGGTTCTGGAGCCGGTCCCGGAGCAGGTTCCGAATGAGCAGGTTCCAGAGCAGGTGCTGGACGAGGTTCCGGCAGAGGTTCATCTTACGTTGGAACCTTCGTGGTCTTCGGCAGGGTCCTTCAAACAGAAGTGATTTTTCGTGGCAGGCGCAGGGCTGGGCGCAAGAAGTGCGGATTTCGTGGCGCAAGGGGGGGGGGTTGTGGCGGGGGAAAAATGTTAAAAACGTTACTTCAAATAAGTTTTCTAAACTCAGTTTACAGCAGCATAAGAAAAAGAAAACCTATTCACCCAAAAAATCACAACAGACTACCACATATAACCTCATTCATTGTTCAAAATCATAACTACTAACCATCTGGTACCTCATTCATTGTTCAAAACCATTACAGTGAATACATATCTATCTCATTCATTCCACAAAATCATCACTACTAACCATCTATTACCTCATTCTCAAAAATCATAGCTACTAACCATCTATTACCTCATCCCTTTTATTGAAATCATAACAGTCAATACATCATCACCTCTCCATTCCATACTCAAAACAAAACAAGCAAGCGACAAACAAAAACACAAACCAAGCAAAGAACAACATTGAAAAACAAAACGATAGACAGCAATATGGCATAACCCCAAACTAAATGACACTCCCTCTCTCATAATACAGTATTCAATGTTGTATATCTGTTTCTTGATTTCAAATGTCTTGTCATTTTGAGACAAAGTCTTGAAATCTTATATTTGTTTTGTATTCTCTTCAATGCTTCACTATGTTTTATTTTCACATGTTCATGTTCTCCATAAGAATATGATACAATATTACTTAACACATTTACTGGCAAGCCCTTCATACCATCCATCCACTAATATACTTAACTGACTAACCTTTAAGTAAGTATTCTAAGGTTAATATAAGACATTCTTTGGAAAAAATTACTTAAAGGTAGATTAAGTAAATAGAATATATAATATTATCTGATGAAAAAGTTTTAGACAATCTGGTGAGTAATGATTTAGCAGAAATACCAAAAAAGATGAAGAAACGAATTAAAGCCCATAATCATAGATGAAAAGAAATTCAGATACAACACAGACAAACCCATATCAAATGGTTTAACAAAGAAATTATTATCAGTCACGAAAACTAATGAATACATAAGTTATGCTTTAAACAAGGCAAAGGGTGCTTCCAGTGAAGGAAGTGTAAGACAAATACTGACCAAACACGCAATCAGAAACAAATTTAGGGTCAGAGATGTTCAACCAGCATTTAGAGCATATGCTAATTCAATAGCTTTAGAAAATACACACTTTGAAGGAGAAAGAGGTTTAGGCATGATTGCGCACCAAAAACAAAGACTATTATAATTTTTCAGAAATAATAGAAGCGTGAAACTTAACATAAGAACAGAAGGATTAATCCTGAATATGATGATGGAGGAAATGAAATTGGTAGTCAAGAACTTGTATATGCTACTTTACCATCAACATATTATCCAATTCATAATGAGGATGAACTGACACAAGCGTTAGAAGATAGTGTTATAAACAAATCTTACTACAAATACAAAATCTTGAAGCATCAACCTCGAATTTAAGGTTTAAACAGATAATATCAGTCACCATTCACTATGACAAATTTGACCCAACAAGAGCAGACAGTTTTATAGAATTACCAGAACGGATTAAGTTAAAAAAAGGCATGTATCAACATTAAAAACAAAGACCAAACATGCTTCAAATACTGTATTCAATCCATAGTCTTTGGCAAAATAAGCAAACATCACCCAGAGGAAATGTTCCACTATAACAAATTGAATGATTACATTTTGAATTGGGGTGGAAAAAATTTCCAACTGGTAATACGGACATAGCAAGATTTGAAGAAAACAACAAATTAGTTTCAATACATGTTTTTGAAACTGATGACTGCCTTAATGATAATAAGATTATCATACGTAGATGAACTAAAAATAGAAATGCTAAATATGAAGCTGATTTATTAAAAGTCTATGATGAAGATAATAACTATCACTATGTATTAGTGAAAAACAAGGTTTCACGTCCGTACGGGCCCCCCGTCTTCGTGTGGGCAGGCCCATACGAAATGGCGTTTCGAGCGTTTCAAAAGTCGAAAAAAAGTTGTATAGTGGCCTTTTTTCAGCCGTGGTCGGCACGCTCTCAGGTGTTTCGCGTGTGGTGGCGATACACCCACTGATACACTCTATTCCACAGCCGTGGGTTCACCAATCCTTTGGACCGGTTCTTGCTTTGCGGCGAGATGAATTTCTTCGTCCACGACCACAGCCAATCTAGCTGCTGGGTGCCTCTTAGTCCATTGACTCTTCACATGCTTGACGTGTTTCACAGTCAAGCGCTTCGAAGGGTACTTGGCAGCAGCGGCCGACCATGCAAGTGCTCCATCTGCACACAACAAAGAACCTGCTCGAACATTCCGAAGCAAGCCTGAGGTCACTATCTCAGCACATAAAATAAGGTTTTTTACTTTTACACCGAGAATCGGGTCCTCCCGCGAACCAGCGGCCCGAGATGGTGTCTGCGGCGCGCTCTTGTCTGACATCCGGCTGCCAAACTCCAAAAAGACAACGCCCGACGAACACGTGACTCGACGAAACCACGAACCGACGAAAACACGAAACGACCCAAACACGAACCGACGTCATTTGCCCCCCCCCCACCAACCCCTGAATGATTGTTGGAACCCTGTCTGCTTCAAAAACGCGCAAATTCACGGGGGCCCGTACGGACGTGACACCAAAAACAAAAGTAGATTGCTTAACTGCGAAAGCAATAAAAATATCTACCAGAAACACTACTGCCATCATTGCTTAAACCCTTTCTCATCAGAAAAGGCATATAAGAACCATCTTGAAAAGGGATGTATGGCATCAGAAGGACAACAAACAAAGATGCCTGATAAAGACACATAGAATTTGAAAAGCGGAATACTAAATTGCCTTGTCCTTTTGTAATCTATGGTGTTTTTGAATGTCTAACCACTAACTCTAACAATGGTATAAAAGGCACATATCAGGAACATAAACCGTGCGGTTATATGTCGAATGTAGTAAGCAGGATTGATAATACATGCCAACCATACTTTGCAGAGGTGAGGATTGTATGAAGCATTCTGTTGAAAAACTGACTGAAATTAAGAAAGATATAATTGAAAAAAATGAATGTAAATAAACCAAATGATGAATTAACTCACGAACAAAAGACAGAATTTAGACAAGCGACCCGCTGCTCCATATGTAATAAGGAGTTCCAACCTGATGATGAGAAAGTCCGCGACCGCTGCCACTTCACAGGTAAATACAGAGGCGCAGCGCATGTAGAATGTAATCTGGATTGTTCATTTAGATGGTTTAAAATCCCTATCTTCTTTCATAATCTTCAAAACTATGACGCACACTTGATCATTGCCAGAGCAAATGAACTAAACATAGAACTAAACCAAAACAAAAGAATAGATGTAATAGCACAAAACAGTGAAAAGTTCATAACCTTCTCATTTGGTGCTTGTCAGTTTAAAGACAGCTTCGCTTTCTTAACTGCGTCATTGGATAAGTTAGTTAGATTAAGCAAATATGAAGGAAATCAAAAGATGAAAGATTGGGAAACTCGTTTCAGATATACAAGCACCAACCCATATATCAAATCTTAAACTGATTTGAATCTGCTGACTGATAAGGGTGTATATCCATACGACTATATGAACTCATGGGATAGATTTGATGAAACAAAACTACCAAAGAAAGAAGATTTTTACAGCAAATTATATGAAGAACACATAACTAACAAAGGCTACACCAGAGCAAATATTGTATGGAAACATTTTAGCATTAACAACCTTTGAGAATATCATGATTTGTAGTTGATGACTGATGCATATTTACTGACTGATGTGTTTGAACATTTTAGGGATATGTGTTTGAACTTTTTTGGATTAGACCAGCAGATTATATAACTTTACCTAACTATTCTTGGAATGCCTTTTATCATTGACAGGAGTTAGACTACAACAAATACACATAGAAAAAATTATGAGATTATTGAACACGGGTTAAGAGGAGGAATGACACTGCGCTCCTTTGAGAAAGTAGAAGCAAACAATAAATACATGAATGAAGACTATAACAAATCTAAACCTTCATCGTACATAAGTTATATAGACGCTAATAACCTTTACGGATTAGCAATGTGTAAGAAACTGCCATATGGTGATTTTAGATTGTAATACGGTAGAATGGATGAAAAGAGAGTAATGAAATATAGTGATGATGATGACGTAGGATACATTTTAGAAGTTGATTTTCATTATCCAAAGAACTACATGATGTACATAAAGACGATCCATTAGCGCCTGAAATCATGAGTATCAACGAAAATACGCTTTCAAAAGTCCAGAAGGATATACATAATTCTTTTTATGGAAAAGATGCCAGTGATGAAAAAACAAATAAGTTAGTATTACATGTAATGGATAAAAGGAAGTATGTTTTACACATATCGGCATTGAAATTCTATCTGCAACACGGACTACGTCTTAAAAAAGTCTATAGAGCAATAAGTCTCAACCAAGCACACTTCTTAAAACCATTCATTGAATTCAGCACTGAAAAGAGAAAGAATGCCAGCAATGACTTTGAAAAAGATCTGTTT